TATATATATATATATGCGTGTGTGTGTGTGTGTGTGGAACTATTCCACACAGTTTTATGATAGAAAGATATACAAATCAGATTGGTTTTGTCAAAAAATATTCCAATTGCTTTTAGAAGGTTAGATTCGAGCAAACAATTAAGCTGTTTAATCTTATTAGATACATTAGGGTTTAAATCAGAGGTAAAATAGGACTTGTATTGCTTTGACTTTGTTATATTTTAGATTTTCTTATTAATATTATAGTGTAGTTTTTTATTTCTAATCTTTGTAAAGAGAATTGTTTTACTATTTTGAGATCAGAGGTTTGTAAGACTCGGTAGTTCATGTTGTCATGCCACTATTTTCATTGTTTTGCAGCTCCATTCTTTTGTAAAGTAGGCCAGTTTCAGTGCCAAAACAATCAGACCTGTATTTCTCGGCTGCAAGTCTGCGATGGAAATAATGACTGCGGAGACAACTCTGATGAAAAATATTGCAGTGAGTGTACAAGTGCTACTATATTTAATTTTTTAATCACATTCTGGTTGATTTACTTTTCACTAAAGTATTTACATTGTAATCTTAAATTTGAGTTTAAGTAATAAAATAGGCATTATGTTATCAAATGTCCTAACATTTGTATTTAATCTAAGTCAAAATGATATTTTTTGTTTGTTATTGTTTTTGTGTGTTTTGTATAGTTTTACCATATATATATATATATTGTACTTTAACACAAAGAAACTTCACAATTTTTAACAGACCTTCCCTGTGGGGAACACAGCATCAAGTGTAACGATACTGGCCGTTGTGTTCCTCAATCTTGGCAGTGTGATGGAGATGATGATTGCTCAGATGGATCAGATGAAGATCCCGCTGTATGTCGTAAGTGTATATTTTTCTTGGTCAGACCAGCTCTTAATATGTAGTTTTACTATTAACATTTTTGTTTGTAACTTAACTGTAAAATTAATATTTTCATAGTTCCTTTCTAAGTTTGTCTTTAAATTGTATGATGTGTAACAACAACACTGAAGAAACACAATTAATGTTATGAAAAACCACAATAATACTAGAAATAATTTCAAACATTTTGTTTGAACTGGTCAAATGGGTTCCACTGTCATTTGTAAATACAAATGTACTGTAAAGATTTTTCTGCAATTTTACTGACTAGCTAAGCTTAATGATGGACCCAAAATATAGTTAATATGTTTTCATAAGTCACTAGTTTGCAGACTACTGGTGACATATCCTTTTATTTATCCTTTTGCAAAATACTACAACTCTTCAGAGTGGCTAGTTTATAGCATTCAGTTTTAATTGATATGCTACTAAAGTTTGTTTTTTAAAAAAACATTATTATGCTAAATCTTTGTAGTTGTCTAAACATTTTTTTTTAATTACCAATTGCAAATATTACAGTATTGGTAGTAGGATAATATGTCACAAAATGTTGGTCCAATAAAATGTACTAGTTACAGAAACTGTATTTAAGTAACTTTGAATCTAATCAAGTAATTTAGTATGTAGTGGAGAGTAGGTGTGGTTTTAACATCTTACCAATAATACAATCAATACACAATTAAAATCAATTCAAAATAATGACTACTTTTTTTGACGTAGTACTTAATAAATGTGACTACATTAAAGGTGTAGGAGATTTATTAAGTGATGTTACTTATGAAAAACTTAGACACAACCCTACAAATATGTATCACGAATTAGTAAAAACAAGTGTTAAATATTATTTAACTTTAACAGATGCAGAGAAGCATAGACTTACTCCTGTTAATTTTATTACTCAGAATTTTTATGCACTTCCATAAATACACAAAATGAATGACAATTTTAGACCAATTGTCTCGACATTAGGTACATTGCCATATGAAATAGCTAAATATATTGCTTGAAGTATTCTAGTTTGGGAAATAAAAAGAAATATACAGTCAAAAATGCTGTATAACTTGTAGGAAAAGAATCAAGGATATAAAATTGAATAAGGATAACTTGTTAGTATCATTTGATGTAATATCATTATTTACAAAAGTTCCATTTGAAGATACTGTTAAGTGTTTTGAAAATATGTTGTTCCAATATAGAACTTCTGCAGTTGAAATTTTAGATATAATTAATTTAACAAAAGTGTATATGTGTGTGTTACGAATCAATTATTTCAGGTTAACAATGTTTTTTATTGACAAAATGATAGGTTAGCAATGGAATCTCCACTTTCACCATTGTTATGCGATTTATATATGAATGCATTTGAAATAAAAGCCATAAATGGTGCAAAATGTAAACCAGAGATTTGGATAAGGTGTGTAGATGACACATTCTTGGTGTGGAAATATGGTATTGAGGCATTAACAGAATTTGCAAACTATTTAAGTAGTATAGAACCTTCCATACAATTTACTCATGAAATTGAGAAAAATAATAGTTTGCTTTTTTTAGATGTATTGATAAAAAGGAATGAACAGGGATTTTTAGAAACATCTATTTATCGGAAACCTTTTTCTGTTCTTATGCCACCACACCAGGAATAGTGTCATACAGAAACACAAAAAGTTTCTGCATTTTACACTCGTATATACAAAATTTTGAGGATAAGTACAAAACAAGATGATTTAAAAAATGAGTTGTTACTGATAAAATATATAGCTGTTGAAAGAGCAGTTAATAAATTCACTAATGTGGCAATAATAGATTGAAACCAAGTTATGATAAAATTGAAAAGGAATGTTTAGTGTTACCATATATTCCAGGTTTAACTACTGGTTTATTTAAAAAAAAAAAGTTTTGCTCTATATCTAAATTGAAAAATAAGATAAAATAAATTTTAGGCAATAGTAAAGATGATGTACAATTAATGGATAGATTTGAAATTTATAAAATTGAATGTGAATGTGGAAGTATCTATATTGGACAAACAAAACGTAATTTTAAATATTGTATAGCCGAACATAAGAGATGTATAAAAAATGAAAAACAGAGAAAATTCAGCTATAGCAGAACATGCAAATAAAACCCAACATAACATGTTATAGGAAAAAAACAATTGTATTAACTCAACCTAAAGGTATTACAACAACTAATACTTGAGAATTGCTGGAAATAATGAAATTTAAAATGAATTATAAATTATTAAATAGAGATGAAGGTCCGGTGAATATTTGTCTAAGAATGTGGCGAGACCTGCTCTGATATTTATGCACAAATGCAAAATTACAGACAGGTCATGTGATATTTAAGAAAATATAAAAATGTGAAATCCATTTTTTTCAACTTCTCTCCTGAAGATGATGTGTGACACGTCGAAACATGTAGTCATTATTTTGAAATTATTTTATTTGTGTATTGATTTACATGTTGTATATTTATTATTTTAACATTACACAAGTGCCTACACACACACACACACACACACACACACACATACATATCTTACCAATCTTTCTATTTGTTCAATTTCATCTAATGGGATAATCCTGTTATATATTTAAAATTATACTCTGTTGCTAAATGTTTGAAAACTTTTCCTCCTCAGATCATCAAGAGTGTGACCCTGAAACACAATATCGATGTAAAAATGGAAAATGTATTCCTAAGCTTTGGTATTGCGATTTTGATGATGACTGTGGTGATGATTCGGATGAGCCAGCTCATTTATGCCGTAAGTACTAGATTTGAAAATCACATAATTTGTAACACATTTTCCTGTAATAGGTATAAACAAAAATTTATTAATTTGAAGCTGATTGTTCACCAGTGTGTTACATAGGCTGTGGATGGATATATCAACCTTTACACTTGTTTTTAATATGTTAAGAAACCAAAATATAATGCTGAGCAGAAATCAGTCCAAGAGCTATCCATCAAATAAACACAGGAGTTTATGAAAGAACTAAACTTCTTAGCTCTCACTTTTTGGCTTTTCTTAAAGAAGTATGTGTCTTGTTAACATATTTCATATATCAACATAATAATTTTTTGAGGTCTCATTGATCATGTGGAAAACTGTTTTATTTTTGTATTATTTAGGAAACCGTAATTGCACACAAGGCTGGCAGAAGTGTCCAACCCGCAGTAACTATCGGTGCATTCCCACATGGCTTTTCTGTGATGGAAAAGATGATTGTCGAGATAATTCAGATGAGACAAATCCTGAATATTGTCCTAAGTGTCATGAAACTGGTGATTTCAAGTGTAAAAACAAGAAATGCATTCCCTTGAGGTGGCGCTGTGATTTCGAAGATGACTGTGGAGATAAATCTGATGAAGATGAAACCATGTGTGGTTAGTGAAATAGATATCCTATTTTACAGAAGAAAAAAAATTATTGTATTCTTTCAAAATTTTAACAGAAAACCTGAGGTTTTAAGCTTCTGATATATAATTTGTAGGATATTAAAAAAACAAAGTATTCCACATGATGAATCTTAATTATGGTAATAATGAGATAAATATATATTAGGGGAGAACATTATTTTGTTTAGCAACATACTATATATTTTAAAATCTGGACATAACAGTTATTAAAACATCTGTTCAGTTTCTTTATTGTAATTTTAAAAAAAAAGTTTGAATGCTTATTGTTTTGTTTTTTTACTTATAGAAAACCTTTATAGAGATTGTTCAGAAAGTGAATTTCAATGTGATAGCAAGAAATGTATTCCTTCACGCTGGCGATGTGATCATGATGATGATTGTGATGATGGAAGTGATGAAAAGGATTGTCTGAATTACCAGTGTAAGGTAAGATGGTACCATGATTACTAAATTCATAATCCTTTTGTTTGTTTTTATGACTTAATTTTATCTCAAATAAAAAAAAAAAAGATAAACACTGCACTTTATTTATTGGCCTTTACAAAATTTAAATAAATCTCAGTGACTTCAGGATAACACTTTAATTTACTAGGTTGAAACTGTATGCTAACTAATAACCAACCTGGATTGAGGATCTGTTCCCTGAAGGTACTTTTGTTGGAGTACCTCATGACAATTAAAACATTTGAGTAACACAGGATCATTATGTAGTGATATAAAGTTTGTTATTTTTTAAGTATACTTCATTTTTGATGAGTAAATACAGGCTGTAAGTAGTTTCCTGATTTCTTAATTGGAAAGTTTACTCTTGAGTGTTAAAGAGAATTTAGTGCATTTCTAGAAAATAAACACAGAATGAGTATAAAATGTTCTTTCTTTTTGGATTAATATTATTAGAGATGTTAATAATTCAGTATTTTATGAATAGCTAGTGATAATTTAATTATGAAGAATGAGTTTTATTTGACTTGTTTCTATATAAAAATTTTGAGTAGCCCTCGGTCATGCCTGTAAAGCTGTGTCAAAGTGTTGTTAAATTTTAATTATATTGTTAATACTTTTTTGCATAAATAGACTAATAGATAGTACACTGTCAATGGCCATTTGTTACCCTACTGTACTACACTGTATAAATAGACTAATAGATAGTACACTGTCAATGGATTAGTCTATTTATACAGTGTAGTACAGTAGGGTAACAAATGGCCATTGACAGTGTACTAGTCTATTAGTCTATTTATACAGTGTAGTACAGTAGGGTAACAAATGGAAATAGTACACTGTATGACATATCCTCATTATCTTTACTGTTGATCTTCACTTTGACTTTTCGTTCTTTACTTGAGTAAGTTAAGGTTGGTTTACAGTGTTTTCCAAATAATTAGTATCAGTTGCTTCAACTTTTCTCAAGTGTAACTCTTCATATATTAGTGATTTGTAGTTCTCATTAATTGTAAATTGGCATGACCAGTTATTTTTATACATACTTTCATCATCTGATCTATTTTTGTATGTTAAGTATCTAGAATTTGAAATCTATTTTCTGGTAGTAAATGTGTGTTCATCTTGCATATATTGTTATTGTTGTGGCCTTTAGCTGATCATTTTGAAGGTCTTACTACTACTTTTGTTTTATATGTGTTTTTTTTATCTTTAATCAGATACTGTAATTTCAAATCTATTGGCATCTGCTTTATTTTTTATTTAGTATTTTTTTTTCTTTCTCTCTCTCTCTCCACCATAGTATTTTATCTACCTGGGCCTTTGTTTCTGGGTTGTATATATTTGGTTTCTACTTCTGAATCATATTCCCATGTTCTTTAAAAAATATTGAATGAGCTTGAGTTGAATAGAGAATCCAACAAAAGTGGGGGGGGGGGGCATCCAGTGACCAGTAAAGACTAAAAACAATAGTGAAAAGGGAAAAGTTCAAAGTGAACATCAACTTAAAACTAGTGTAAATATTACTGAAGCAACAGAAGCTGAACAAGTACATCTTCTTAAAAGAGGTTTATTTGAAATATTTTTTTCTACATTAGGAAAACCAGTTTAAATGCCAGAGTGGCCACTGCATTGATTCAAAGCTTGTGTGTGATGGGAGAAAAGACTGCCATGACCTATCGGATGAACAAAACTGTGCAACCCGATACCCTGGAGGTCGATATTGTCAAGATACGTACTTCGAATGTAACAATACTGTAAGTATCTTCATTTCTTCAGATGTTGAATATCGTTTAAGTTGTACTTCAGGCACGTTTCTTTTATTACTTGTTCCTTTATAAGTGTGGAGAAATGAAGTTCTTGCATTAGGTGGACCATGTTTATTGAATTTGTGTGTGAATGACTCTTGTATCCAGAATATCATTATAACAAACTATAGACATAAAGTTTGTATCAGTTGTTAATGGGGGAAAAAAGTTTTGTTGTCAAGTTCTAATGAAAGAAGAAGAAAAAAAAAGTGTTTGTTAGTGAAATCTGAATAATCATACCGTGAATGTGTGAAAAAAGAACTTGGATATTTCAAGTCTTATAGCAGCTATTATTACAGGTATGTTTACAGTTTGACTTTGTCTGTGATGGTGAGGACGATTGTGGAGATTCATCAGATGAAAAGGAGGACATATGCCGTAAGTGCCATTTTAATTTGTTTTCATGAGCATTAACAGTTGTTCAAATGATTGTGAATTTAACAAATTCAAGAGAATAAGAAACAGTGAATAAAATTATTTCTGCAAGTTTTAGAAAAATAAAATCTCAATACAGCATAGGATTTAATGAGCATACCTGAACTTTTCCAACTCGCACAGATGTTGCCCTGATCAGTATATGAAATGTGAACGTAATGTTAATATAAAGACACTATGAAAGTTTTTATAACATAACTTGATTAACTTGAAAATATTAAAATGTACAATTTCCTCTTTTCTTTTTTTGTATTTAATCTAAAGGATGAGTGCTAATATAAATCACATTTGATAACATTAAAAGCCAGAAATTGAAATTTACAGAGTTGAGAGGGCAGTAATGACATTGAAAACAGTTGTTTTAGTTAAGTTGTTTATTTGTCAAATTTCTAGTTGTTTTGGGATTGCTAACATGTAAAAAAGTTGTATTTCTGTTATTACTGCACAATACTCTCGATTTCAATATATTTAAGCATAGTTTTATATTTCTAAGCTTTTTATATTGAATAGTAATTTTGTTAAGAATTTATAGAACAATGTATAAAGATGTTAGGAAATCTGCCCTCACCAGTGCTTTAACCCCTGGCCTTCACCTCACACTGGTGCTTTGAAACTGCTCGTAACACTTGAACCATGAAGGGTTAGTAATGATGAAGACAATTCTCTGTCCTGACCATTACAATAGCCATATTTTCACTACTGGGTTATTGTTTCATGGTGCTTTAAGAAAAGCAAAATCTGTAAATTCAACTTCTGAAACTAAGAACATTTTAAAAAATAATTCAATTTTTTACTTTACACATTGAGTTGTAAAGAAGTTTGAGGAAAATATGTCAGTAAATGTACAATAGCAGTTCATTTTATACCCTTCCTTATATTTGTAAAGAATCAGTTTATTGAAAATCTTGTTGAGAATACTAGTAACTTTACAGAATCTTTATATTCGTGTGTTTCCAGGAGATTACAAGTGTGACACAAGCCGGCAGTTTCAGTGCTGGAACCATCGCTGCATTCCAAGGTGGAAACTTTGTAATGGGGATGACGACTGTGGTGATGGTTCAGATGAAAACAATCACACTTTGTGTCACACTCCACCTGTTAAATGTGAAAATACAGAGTTCCAGTGCTTGAAACAGAAATGTATCCCACATTCCAAAGTATGTGATCACAAAGATGACTGTGGGGATATGTCTGATGAAAATGGATGTCGTAAGTGTTTTTGTTGCTAAGGCAAACAAGTAACCATTGGGTTTTTAAATAATATGACAAACTTAGACAATTGAATGCTCATTCCGTATCATTTAGTAGCTAGAAAGAGTTTACATCTTCTAGCCTCATCTTTAATAATTAGTAAACACACATTCATTGTTTGAGGGTTTGAATTCTTAAATCTTAAGGTACATCTATGATAATATGAAGTATTGCTTAGAAGTTTTGTTAATTAACTGGGGATTTATTACACTTAATGTTTATCTTGCTTCACACGTTATTACCACCTCTTTGAATTTCATAGCAAAGAGAATAGTACTTACCAAACGAGACCAAGAATACAAGATTAACGATTATTTTAAACTTAACTAACTGCCCACAACAAGAAGTCACTGAAATAGTCAAGTGCTGTAAATGGAAGTGACAATAAGAAAGCCCCCAGCATGGGGAAAGCAAATTAACTAACATTGTTTGTTTTTAACAAATTTGTTCATAATTGTTAGAGATTATTTTCCATGTTTATGTATGTGGATGATGTGTTGTTTGATTAAATTAAATTTATAATTGTTCTATACAAGTTTCATTGTTAACGTAGCTGGAAGTAGCCAAGGTATAAAACAAAAACAACACTATAATTGTTATTTGACAAATTTCATTCATCTGAGTGAACAAATATGAAATCAGAAGATTTTACTTAGCAATCAGAACTGACAAAATTTGTGGAGTTGTTAAAAATGCTAGGTTTGTATAATTGAAAAGTCTGTGTTCCTAGGGAGGGAAAACTTACAAGAATGTTGTGCATTTGCAAACTAATTAAGAAATATAATTTTATTACCATTTGATGTTCAGTGCTAAAAAATTAGTATTTGTTCTCAGTGCTAACAGCAGATTGTTATTTATATTTCATCGGTGCTCGGTGCTAAGAAGTTAGGTATTTATATTTGGTGGATGGTGCTTGATGTTAACAACAAGTTATTGTTCTTATTCTTTGTGCTTGTTACTAACAACATTTTAATGTATTTACATTTCATCGGTGATCTGTGCTAACAATAAGGTTAGGTATATATCGATTGGTGCTTGCAACAAGCTAATGCATTTATAATTGGTTGATGTTCGCTGCTAACTAACAAGTTAAAAGTTATTTGTATTCAGTTCGTTTTCGCTGTTAAGAACAAGCTCAGGTGTAGGGTCTCATTTGTTGGAATTGAGATTACAACGTGTTAGATTTTATTATAAATTGTAATTCATGTGTATTGAAGTAAATAGTTTTTATGTGGCCCTGGCAGTTAGCAAACAACATTCAATGATAAAAATATCTATTAAACAGTTTGCTGTCGAAAGATAATAAATATAAAATATGGGTATTTTTTTAATATTGGCTGTTTATGTATCTAATTTTACTGTTCTATAACATCTTTTATAAATTAACAGGTATAAGTGTTAATAATAGATTTACAAGTTGAAAACAGGATTTTATTTACAAAAAATAACAAACATCATAGTAAGAATGGTAAACATTTATATAGATGTTTTAGAAGTTACATATTCTATCATCATTGATCTTTAAAATAAATACATTGATGATGATGATGATGCACAATATATGTACAAACATAATTGTCTCCCAGAGCTCAGTGGTAATTTTGAAATCTTATGATGCTAAAAATGGGAAAAAAATTAATTGTGTGTGTGTGTGTGTGTGTATTTAAGGTTTTGCCAATATAACTGGTATTGCAGTTACCATGAGTATGTTAGTAGATGAATCATAATTGCAGAGATGTAGACAGAAGGTTTCAAACATATTGTGAATTTAAAAGGATAATTTGAAAAGTATTCATAATTTAACTTGTGGATAGAAATTCTTAATTAGTTTCTGAAGTTATGTTCTTTTGAGAATTCTTTGTTTGTCCAAGAAAGGAAGAACTCATGAAATGATAAGATGCAGGATTTCTAGTAGGCTCAGGAAGTTACTTGTAAGAATGATAATTTCAAATTCAATAGAGAAATAGCTGGAACAAATATTGTAAGCCCTGCTTAGGAGATATAGTGAAAAATTATGCTTTAAAAAATATGGTATAAATTTGTCAGTGTGGATATATAAGCCAATAGATGTTTTTTTATTTTGACAGACATGTGTAGTAAGTTGATTATCTAGTCAGTTAACCAGGACATCAAGAAAAGCTAATTTATCTTTACCTCCACCATAATAAGTGAATTTTATGTGAGGGCATTGACAGTTTAAGTTTGAGAAGTTGGTTTAATGGGTTAATAACTTTGAAAACAAGGTTAAAACCGTTTGTTTTGTTTATATATATTATAGATACAGGTACTTGTGACACTGTAACGCGTGGTGGCTGCAAACACAACTGCACAGCTCTGGAAAAAGGAGGATACATTTGTGTGTGTCCTAAAGGATATAAAGTTATGGAAAGTAATCCCAAACAATGTGAAGGTAAGTAGTCCCAAATATGAAAGTAGGTAATCTCAAATAATGTGTAGCCCAAAAATGAAAGTACGTAATCCCAAATAATGTGAAGGTAAGTAGTCCCAAAAAAGAAAGTAGGTAATCTCAAATAATGTGAAGGTAAGTAGTTCCAAATATGAAAGTAGGTAATCTCAAATAATGTGTAGCCCAAAATGAAAGTAGGTACTCCCAAACAATGTGAAGGAGAAGTAATTCCAAACATTGTGAAGGCAGAAAATCCCAGACAATGTAAAGGAAGCACTTATAAAAGAGATTTTTGTTTAGTCCACATTTTTTTAACTCTATTATTGTGTACATAAAATACAAAGTTGGAAAATCAACACATGAATAATTTTCATCTTTTTTAGATTTCACATACAGTAATAACAAATTGCTTATTTGTTAGGTTTTTGTGTTGCAAAAAGAGGGAAGATATAATGTGTAATAGATAATGTACTGGTATAATTTGTTTTTCACTATTAAGGCATACAATTTTTTTTATTGTTATAAAAAAAATGGAGGAGTCAAGTTAGAAGATTAAGGAAAAAGAATTATTTAGCTGAAACATTGTTAAAGTAATTCAGACCATGTGACATCTATGTACTTAGAAAAAACGTGTGTCAGTCAGTCTGTGCATTATGCATATTAGCTCACACGAAAACCCACTATTCCTATTGGCTAATTGCAACATTCATTTTTGATGCACTACATATTGCATGAAAAAAAAAATTACAGATTTCAGATAATATACAAATGAGATTTAGACACACATACACACACGATATTTACAAAAAACACATGATGGCAGTTGATTTTTACACTTCTTGATACCATAATTTTATAAATTCACTATTTTATAACTATTGTACATTTTCAACTATCTCAATACATGTGCCTAAAAATTTACACTTAGGTCTAAAGTTTAAATATGCTTCATATGTGAAGAATGAGTTAACCTGCTAGGGGAGTAAAATATTACATCATTTCTGTTATCTGTGGTAGTGGACCCAATGTTTTTTAATATTTTAGGGAAGAGAAAATAAGAGTTGATATCATTATGGAAGGAAAAAGAAAATAAGTGAAATAGTGAAAAATAAAGACAGTTGATTTTTACGCTTATCGATACCATAATTTAAAAAATTTACCATTTTATAATGCTGCTTTATCTTGAAATTTTTTCTTGATCAAAGACGGTGATTATCCAGAAAGACAAGGTGTTCACATAAATTTGTTTTGTACAGAGAGAGAGATTTTGAATATCATCATTCCATATTTTTACACTTCTTTATTTTATATCTAAATACAACAACTCCATGTTCTACTTAATAGGTTTTCGTTTCATTTGTGTCCAACTACATAATACCACAACAGCAATAATGATGCTACATATGTGAAAAAAAAATTGGTGGGTCTTTAGCTCGTGAATCACAGCACATGCTTTGTATATGGCAGGTCAAGGATTCAATCCCATCTATATCCATTTTTTTTAATTTCCTAGAAAACTTTTTAGTAGTCAAATAACTTTAGTACATACATCGTACGCGAAGCACATGTTTATCCCTTAGTACTTGTGAAAAAGGTATACAAATTAGCCCTCCAACATCGACCAACTTTGAAACACGTGTGTGGCATGAATTCTTAAATATTTTTGAGCATGTGCTTTTTAATTATGTGAAGTGTGAGACATTATGCCTTCACAAACTTTAAGGCTAAATTGAAAGAGAAGAGAAATATGATATAACCAAGTTGATCAAATTGCTACTTTACATCATGTTTTTTATATTTTGCATCATTTAGGCATTATCAGCATTTTTAATTGCTTACATTGCTAATGATTTGTTTTTTCTTTAATATCTCTTTATTAATGATGCATGTTTTTAAATGTTAGTTATTTCTTTCTTTCCTAAAAATTAGAATCTGTGTTCCCCCTCTCTCTTTAGATATTGACGAATGTGCAAAGTTTGGTCACAACTGCTCCCAGATATGCACAAACTACAATGGAACCTACAGATGTTCCTGCAAGAAGGGTTTTAAGGCGTATCTTGGTGGATGTGTAGCAGGAGGTTGTATTACTTAATTCACATTCCACGTAACATGATACTAAGCATTAGCATATGTTAAATGTAGTTTTTCTTTAATAGAATATTAAATAAATGTGTTTTTTATTAATAATAATAGTAATGACAATTTTATGATGAAAAAATATTGTAGCAAAAAGTAGTATAAAATGTCCAACATTAACTTAAGATATTACAGTAAAACCACAAAGTAGAAAGTTCTTAATATCTCGCAATTAGCAGTGTAGATTTGTTAACATTTTTCTGCTGCTTGGATGACTGATTTTCTTTATTTGCATTTGTTTTGTTTTATGATGGTTTATGGGAAGAGAGATTATGGTATATGGTTGAATTGAGGATGTACCAAAAATTCTACTCCTTACCTCGTACAATCAGAAAGTTGTATCCATTTCTACCTGATCCATAAAAACATTTGTTTTGTTTTATGATGGTTTATAGGAAGAGAGATTATGGTATAGGGTTGAATTGAGGATGTACCAAAAATTCTACTCCTTACCTCGTACAATCAGAAAGTTGTATCCATTTCTACCTGATCCATAAAAACATTTGTTTTGTTTTATGATGGTTTATGGGAAGAGAGATTATGGTATATGGTTGAATTGAGGATGTACCAAAAATTCTACTCCTTACCTCGTACAATCAGAAAGTTATATCCATTTCTACCTGATCCATAAAAACATTATACAAAAAGGTTTTTTTTTCTTAAAAGTAATTGAACAGTAATTATAATGTATGTGCTTGTTATACCTGATATATATTCCTTTGTATGTTTTGAATTTATTTTTTCAATATTAGATATACTTAAATATCATACAAGAAACTTTTTTGTTACATTTTATTGTATACATTTTTATTAATTCTGCTTTGTGTGCATAAATCTTTTCTTTTAGATCCTCCAGCTGTTGTAATGATAGCAAGTGGTTCAGAAATTCGTATGTTGGATGAACAAAATAGGAGACAATCTTCCTTGATCCAAGAAGAGAGTCAGATTTTTGCTATTGACTATGATCCAATACATAGTAAGTCTTAAACTCTCCACTTTCTTTAAACTGATGAGATGTGGTAGTTTGAGAGTTAATAATTGCCTTAATTTAGGGGATTAACCCTTTAGCTCATTTGACAGTATGTGTGCTAGGCATAAAATAGAAACAGGGTTGCATCATGGGAGAATAAAAAATTAAATTATACACATAAGATTAAGCTGTAAATGTTTTAACCAGCATATGGTAACCATGCTTGTCAGAAACACAGACTTGATATTAATCAAATCAAGATGTTGTCTATATTTAGTGTAGTGTACCTTGCTGTCAAATACCATATTAAAGGTTTTTATCAAACTAATGATTCCTTAAACCTTTTGTACATTAATAAGCTGTAACTTAAATTTTTATATATTACAATACTCATCAATTCAGTACATTGTTGTCCATTATAATGTTGTTAAATTGAAGGATGTACTTTTTTTTCTCCCTCCTTTATAGATATTGTGTACTGGACTGATACTTCTGATAAAACTATTAAAAGGTCATTCATTCCTAATCCAAGTGATCCCAACGATGGAACTGGTTATCCTCAGAATCTAGAAGTAAAAGGTCTTGCAAAGCCTAGTGCTATAGCTGTGGACTGGACTGCAGGGTAACATTAGAATTTAATTTTTAAATATTTTATGAGGTATAATAACATTTCACTTGGTGTTTGATTGCTAAAACAAAACAGACAGTTGTTTGATTTATGTAGATCAGAATGTGCACTTTCTAAAACCTGTCCAATAGCAATGTCAAACAAAATTATAGTAAATTCTTGAAAGACATAGTTTTTGATGGGTGTCTCATGGGTTGAACAAATATAGTGGTATCTCAGTAATGCAAGAAGGTAAGAGGTAGAGCTATTACATTCTGATTTATCAATATCTATACTATATGCTTCTAACTAGTTGAACACACTGAGACCTTTGTAAGGGAAGGGGAAAAAATCTATAAATGAGAAATCAGAGAATCATCATGGTGTGACTCTGAGGTGCAGCTTGGGAAATTATTTAAATATTTCCTTTTGAAAATAAGAAACTTAAATTATAAACTATGTTTGATGCCAAGTTTATTAACATAAACTGATGATAAAGTAGTTTAATTAAGTTTTAAATGTAACATTATGGTGGTAATTTTTAAAATACTTGTTGCCCTGTTTCAAAAGTCTTTTTTTGTTTCTTTGGTGCATTTACTTAGATTTATCATTAAAAAAATCAGGCAAAGCATGCAGTGACTTAGCCCACACAATGTGGGGTTTCATTATTGTTTCCTGAAATGCAACTTCAATGACGTGATAATGAGTGTACCTTTTGAGAAGCAACACTTGCTTGTACTCAACACATGATAAATAGCTCATTAGGGAGCACAGTTACCTCTCAAAGAAAGTGTCAAGAAAATAATTGAGTACTGGTACACGGGTAAGAGGTGAAGATAAACATATGTCAGTATTGGTATGCTAAAAGGTTACTGCGGGGAAACTCTCTAGAATAAATATTTAAAATTTAAGTGTAAAAAAAACAATTATTATTTCTGTTGTAATCAGACTTCTACTACAGCTATAAAAAATACCCTCATCACTCATCACTGTTTGTGTTTAATGATATGATAATGAAATATCATGTATTTTATCATTAGAAAACGTGCAAGATCAAAAATATAAATCTAGTTTTTATTCAGCTTGTAAACATCCAGTTTGGTCACAAAAATTTATTATTCAGTATACATGCTTTGTGTACGTGTACACAGTACAGTATTTGAGTGTACTTTAAAAAGTCTATAGCCCCACAGCAGTTAGGTTGTTTTTTTAAGAAATGAAAATTGTAACTGGATTGTGGATGGTATGAGTCATATATCAAAAGTTTTTCCAAAATTATGATAAAAAATTAACTGGATTTTGGATGGTTAGTGAGTTGTACGTCAAAAATTTCTTATATAGTATGAAAAAGCACTTGATTAATAGAATTTCTGAATCTTTTTTTTATTTAAATTTTTCTAAAAGTGTAAAATGCTGAATAACAAACACTATCCTACAGCCAGCATCCACATAAAATGAATATTAATTTAGGATCAAAGATAAACCAAATATGTACAGTGCATTTTTCCACTGTTACAAACTGCTTTCTGCTCCTTGTCAGTCTAAAATCTTTATCAGCAGGATCAGATTTAAACAGGAGAAATTATCACCTGTGCTCAACAGAGATCTCGCATGTACTGTCTGTTTGGTTCATAGATCCTTACAAATTTTTTATATTTTTCCCAGCATCATCCAGTAAATAATAATAATTTAAATGGTGTGATTTTTTTTCACACGTCAAGTTGTATATCCATCTTAACAATTCTTAGATTTCTGTCATGAAAAAAATACTTTTCATGTATGTGTAATAATTTGTTTTAATGAATCCAATTCTAACTTTGGTCCGAGAGTGTTACAAGTACATTGCACTATCTTGATTCTCTTCTTCTGATGACAGAAATTGTTGTTACAAAGATATCATATATTAAAGTTTAGCTCTTTCACAATTTCAGTAATCTTTACTGGATGGATACAGATTTATCTGGAAACCGCCCTCATGGAAGGATCTTTGCCAGTTTGTTAGATGGACGATATAGGTTGGCCATCATCTCTACAGGTTTAGAACATCCAGATTCATTAGCCTTGGACCCTGAACTTGGGTATGTTTTCCTGTTTTGGTGTTTATGATTACCACTGTAAGTTCCTGATATTTTATTTTTAATAGAAAAAAATATTTTATATAAACAGTAAAATTGTAATACAGAATTGTAACGTATATTTATTTCTGCATGTTGTAGACAAATATAGATGTCTGGCAGTAAACATGTGATAATTATTTCAGTGTATTAGAAGCTCTTCTACACAATTTTTTTCTTCATAAAAGATTTCTGCATCTACTCTGTTTTCTAACCATTTTACATAATTATCATTTACCACAAATTATTGTCTACGTATGGTTTTGGACAGAATATGAAACTAGCCATTGTCTTTATAATTAAGTTTATGGAGACAAGTTATGGAAGTGATTTTTTTTCTTGTTTTTGACAGTTGCTTTTCTATTCTAGTAAGCTCTTCTGGACTGATGCTGGGTCTTCGCCTAAGATCGAGTCAGCATGGATGGATGGCTCTAGACGAAAGATGCTGGTGAATGACAAACTAGGATACCCTAGTGGGATAACAATAGACTATGAAGGGGGTCATCGACTATACTGGTGTGACTCAAAGCTGAACACTATTGAGTCTATGAAAGTTGATGGAAGTGACAGGGTGACTGTGATTAGTGGAGGTATACAAAGTAACACATCTCTATTACAGAACTGTTCAAAATATACTCAAATGATTTCCACTTATATAATTTCAGTGTGTGTTTTTATGAATTCGTAGTGACAACAAAATCTAACTTAGAATCGAAATGCATTTTTTCGTTTCCATTGATACTTGTATTGATTTTCTTATCTACCATATTTTTCACAGCATTGATGGTCATATGCACGAGTGGGTGGATATAAGAATAAGATGTTTTACATGAGTTCTAGAAGTACCACATGTTCAGTGAAATTTAAAATGTAACTTTATACAATACACAACGATTGAAAAAAAAAAAAAGGTACAAATATATTATTAAAGATATTAGCATAAAACAAAAAATGTTTGTCTGATGTGAGACAATATCTTTCCAGACCTTATACACCCAGTCAGTTTAGATCTCTTTGAAGACCATTTGTTTTGGGTAACACGATCTGGAGCAATTTACAAACAGGATAAATTTGGCAGGGGTATTAAAGTCAGAGTTCGTCGGGAACTTCAGAACCCTACTGATGTGAAAATTTATCAACCCAGCAAGTACAACACCTCAGGTAGGTCAATGAGAGAAATATAAATCTGTCAGTTTTATTAAACCTTCTCTACTGCAGGGATTTATTGCTAGTAAAATCCAATAAAAATTCAGCTTGTTTTAATAAGAGAGTTTAGCGAGTGAATAATTTGATTTTTTTAGGTTTTTGAGGACCATTATACACTAAGAAATGCTCTATTTGTTTGTTCTAAAAACGTGTTTAGAGTTCATTTTAAAGTATTTTGTAAAATATGCAGCTGATGTATTTATTTTATAAATTGTTTAGCAGTTATGATGAGAGAATCTTTATTTGTCTGCAATTTACATAAGAAGTATAGTATTAAAAAACATTTAGAATAACTGCATGTTGTTTGTAATTTTGAGTATATACCCACATGTTTATTATGTACTTTTGAGGGGAAACTCAAATCATGGTTCTCAGATGAAAGATACCCAAATTTATGTTGACCATATAGTCATATCAGTTCTTTACTTTCTAAACTCTCTACCTTGATGATGACTATGTACACTAGATAAATTTTTCACAGCCAAAGCAAGATAAATTTGGATCAGTTCTTTACTTATCAGATTTTCTACCTTGAAAATGTAGTCACCTGTATGTTGGCTGTAAGAAATTTATCTCGTGTGTATAGCTAGATTAGTCCTTTGCTTATCAGATTTTCTCTCTTAGAAATGAAGAAATCCTCAATGTGATATCTTTCTTTAATTGTAACAGTACATGTTTATGGATTATTTTTACATTCTTTTCATTTCTATGACAATACCTTCAATTTACTAATTTTAACATTATGATTTGTGTAAATTTATAAGATACTTATAAACACTGGAAACATTTTCAGTTGAAAACCGTTGCAAGAACACTGGTTGCACTCACCTGTGTTTGTTGATTCCAAGAGGCCATCGGTGTGCTTGTCCCGATGGTTCAGCAATTCAGGAATCAAAGCAGCTGTCTTGTAATGCAGGTATGGGTACTTTTTATTTTTACATTAGTAACCATGAGAATATAAAAAATACTTGTGTATTTTTAACATATTTTGCAGTATTAGTAGAATAAATTGTTCAGGTGGTAAAAATAAAAGGGATGCTTGAAAAGAAACATTTTTATTGTTACTTTCCTTACATTTATTTTACTGTGAAAGTGTCTCAAGATGTTAATTACTGAAGAAAATGTTACACAATACTAATGACAGCCTTGTAGCGATCAAATATCGATTGTTATCACATAAATCAAGTTGTCTAATCTATTACTATGTTTCAGCTACTAATGTGCTGCCATCTTCAGTGGAATAGTAAGAAATGATATATTTAGCAGCAGTAGCCAGGATTCAATCCTGGGTCTTGTTATTAGGCTGGTTTGCCAGTCACATAGTGACTCAATGTTTTAATATAGGCTACTAAAAATGAAAATGATATATTAGACAATTTATCATCTATTTTCTTTATTTGTTTGAAAACTAAGCATCCATTTGTATTTAAAGCCATGGAAATTCCCAAACCTCAGCCATATCACTGTCCATGCAAGAATGGTGGAGTGTGTCATCAAGGTCCCCAAAAAATTGTGTGTAAATGTCAAAAAAATTTCAATGGTATCCATTGTGAGAACTATCTAGGACGAGAACCAGTACCAACTAAGTCTTCTACAGTAGGTAAGAAAATAGCACTGATTGAGTTTTTCTTGAAATTTTAAAAACTTGTAGGGAAGAAAAAATGTTGATAATGTATTAAATTTTTTTTATATGGGGTTAACAAAAAAATTTTACCCTTTTCTTATGATAATATCATAGAAATAAGCTTTATATGAAAAATGTTTTCCCAAGGATCTGTCGATGTGCTTAGTATTTCACTTTGAACTCTATTTTGAGTATCTTTCCAACTTTTTTCTAATATATTTGGCTCCCTTTCTAATAAAAACTGGCTTATATAGCCCATACAGTATCATGACCCATTCCCACAACCCTTCACATGACTTTCATACACCTAACAGTGTACAAAGCAGTGATCAGAAGACTGCATGACTAACTTTAAGATCACCTATTTACTTTAAAAATGCTTTATAATTGTACATTTAAAATGAAAATTAAAAATAGAAAAACATAAAACAATTGGATTCAAATAAATTATTTTTTGTAAAAATAATAATTTATTGACGTTAATTTACGAAAGTTTGATTAATTTTAATGCCAATTATAAATTAGGAAAATTGCATTAAGTATTTCTGCTAAAGTATAATCTGATGCCATGTTGCTGCTTTGATTTTGCAACTACTATAACTGTAACAAATTAATTCAAATGAAGACCAATTAACCAAATTGCACTCAGTAAGCAAGTTTCTAATGTCAGAAAGATGACTGGTAAATTGAGCATGTATGATACATTTTTTTAATGAGCTCTTTAGCTTAATGTTTTTTTATCATTCTCACTTGAGATTTCTTGAAGAATATCTACATCATCAAGCAGTGTTAATTTGATAATTGGTTTGATTGAATCTATTAAACTCAAGTTCAGGCATATTGGTAGGAGTGGCAAAGATCAAACAAGTGAGCAGCAGATTGTCACTTTCATCAAAAGAATGTCAATAAATCCAGCATGCTGATAGTAATGAACAATTGTTTCAGTGGTCATTTGCCCTATGGTGAAACCTCAATGTTCATTGCATTCAAAAGTCATAACATTTTCTGAAAAGTCTTGTATCCAATGTGGAAGCCCATTTTCATCCTGAGAAGCTTTACAACACGTGTAACAGAATGTACAAATTCTATCCTGGTAATATTTGCTTCTGATCAAAACAAACTATGTTATTAAGGGTTAAACAAAAAAATCAACCTGGTGATCAGTATAGCTAAATAAGTATATGTTTCTTATATATCTACTTTTAAAGATTAAAATGCATTGTTTCATTATTTGAGTACACTCACTGTTAATAATATTTTCAGCTGTAATCCCAATAATATCTCGCAAGGTTCAGACAACTTAGAAGGTTATAAGAGGTTTAGCCAGGTTAGCAGGTTATCATTCAGTTTAATAACATGCATCAAGTTGAATACTATCTGTTGTCAATGTGGGAATAGTTGTAACTTCTACTTTCATTGCTGTAGAAAGCAATTTTGGAGTGGTCAGACCATTGCCATATCTAGGGAGGTCTGTGGGCATGACCCCTCTTCCCCACCAGAAAAATTTAATGATACGAGATTGAAGCTTGAGCCATTTTAATTACAAATACTGTATACATATAATGTAATGTATTGAATTAAAAGAAGCAAGTTTTAATACACAAATTGTAGCTATGCATGTCACAAAAAAGTGGTCAGGTCGTGACCCTGATCTTGCACTGCTCAGGTGCTTCATGTGCAGTATACTACTTTGAACTCTGCCTGGTAAATTCCAGTGGTAAAAACAACTTTGACGTAAAATGTTTCTTCTAAATCTATCTTGACTTGATTTGCTTATAAGCAAATCTTGTGTATAGGTGACTTTATATTGGAAGCAGAAACTTAAGGAAAGAAATTGATACCAGAAAGAATTCTGCTTATAAGCAGAGTGGTCTGTGTATAAAATGTGTGTTTTAGGGTTAAAGTCCTTGTTTTGTTTGTTTATACCAATACATGTACTTTAAAAAATGTTTGTTTTGGATTTTAGTTCAGTTTTTAAAACATCTGTCTTATGAATTTTAAAATAATCAGATTGTAATATATTTAATTTATAGATTTTAGAGGGTATGTACGCTTGTAGATTTTTTTTTATGGGTTACCTCAGCTTTTATAACTGAATTATAACTTCAGTTCTTGAAACTGTTCAGTTTTTAGTATGGGTTTTGAAATGATCAGATCATAATAGTTTGTAGATTTTATAAGACATGAAAACCTGTGGCCTTTTGATAATTGTTTTTAATTCATTATTGTTGTGATTTGCATTGGTATTTGGATATTTCTGTTTTGTAGTGGAACTGCAATGTTTGTACTTAAGTTTACAAATTTTTTATTCATCATTGTTAGATATTGCAGCCATCATTGTCCCAATCTTTGTCATTCTGATTGTGTTGCTGTTAGCTATTGGAATTTTTCTCATCATACGTAGAAGTAACTTGTAAGTAATAATTCCTTTTTATTTTTTTGTTATTCTGATCATAAAGTTATTTGTTTAAAACTGAAAGTGATGGGTGCTAAATATGTCTGGGCATCTGTTACTTCTAGATTATAGAATATTTTTAAACATATTTTTAAGTTTTCTACACATACTAAAGGTAGTAAAATATTAATATTAATCTGGCAGGCAGTAGCACTGCTTATGTACTTATGGCTTCGATTGCTTATCAAAATGGTATTTTAAATATCTTCTCAATATGTCATCAGAACTTTACAATACTACACAGTGTTTCCTTTTATAACAATATCTATGTAATGACTGAGTCACAAATTCAGTAATGTCTGTAAATATCATAGGAAAAACTTTAAATTTCTTGTTCTTGTTTCTTCTGCTTCTTTTTTATTACATGATAACTCAAAAACCAAAACTATGGTGACATAGTTTCAAACAGAGTATCCGCTTTTATAAGTATTATTAATAACTATTAGTAATTTTAAAAATCACAATTCTAATGTAAACGATGTTATCATTACATCTTGAAGTTAGCTTTCTCATAGAAATTTGGTGTTCCTTTAATAAAGCTTAAGTACAGGTTGAAACCAGAATTAACAGCCAATAATAAATAAACAATAAATATTACAGTTGGAACCTCATTGTATTTAGAACTTGGTTATAAATACAACCTTCTAACATCTATTGAAACACAGCATTAAAAAAACTTTACAAAAAAGGAAGTAAATATAGGGATGGCTAATACAATCCTTCAAAAACATTGAAAACAAGATGGCATTGCATCATCCCTACATAAGAGCACAGACAAGAATTATAATATAGAAAAATATATATATATATAACTATTCAATCACAATTGAGTTTAATTTATCCTTATTTTTTTTCTGTTAACATTCTACTACACTGTTGTGCTTATGCTATTATGTAGGGATGATGTAAGCACCATCCCTACTATCTTGTTTGCATGCTTTTTGAAGGATTTATATTAGCCATCTGTAGGTTTATTTCCTTTTTTGAAAATATTTTTCTTTACTTGTACTTGTGGTTCTGCTGAAGGGTCATGCACGACATAGTGGATAGTGTGCTGAATTGTGAACCTAAAGATCCCCAATTCATATTCCACAGCTACAAGATTCTGCTTAGTATTTAGGAACAGTGAGTGCATTATAAGAGTGACAAACAAATCTGGTTAAAATAGTGTGGAGTTGGTACTGGCTGCCTCCTCTCTAGCCGATCAGTTCAACATTAGGGACAGCTAGTGCAAGTAGCCCCTGTCTGGCTTTGCACAAATGTTCGCAACAATGAAAAATATATTTCTGCTCAGCAGCATTGTTTTAAATTTTATAAATATATTTGTATAATTCTTTAGCATGTACTCTAGCTTTCACTTGTATCACCATAACATTTGAAGAAATTCACAGTTTTATTGTTGTTTCTTGCAGATGTGTAAAACAATAGTTAGGTTTGTTGAAATAGCCAATCATATTTGTTGATTTGATGTAATAAATATACAGAATAATTTTGTTTATTACATTGTAAGTTTACAGAAGAATAGAAGGCACATTATAAATGCCAATTTACTGTTTTAGCTTATCTATCTTTTATGGCCATATGATTTGTTACTGAACCATCAAGTTGTTTATGTGCCAATCACTATTAATAGAGGCCACATATTGCAAAATATTGATTTGTTTTTTTTGTTTTTTTATCTTATACAACTCCTAGTGTAATGAACTGACTAAAAAACATTGGTTGAAATCACTCATTTTTTGTGTGAAAAATATTTGGAATCCCAGCAGTAGTGGTTAGGGCACTCAATTTGCAACCTGTGGGTTGTGGGTTTGAATCCACAATTTATTAAACATGCTTGCCCTTTTCAGCTATGGTGGTGTTATAATGGTCAATCCCACTATTCATTGGTAAAAATTAGCCTAAGAGTTGGTGGTGGGTAGTGATGACTAGCTGCCTTCTCTCTAGTTTTTCACTGTTAAATTAGGGATGGCTAGTACAGATATCCCTCATGTAACTTTGTGCGGAATTTAAAACAAATCAAACCCAGCATTAATTAGTTGAACTAACTGCAGTATATTGATAGTATTTTTTTAACAAATATTAGCAATACCTCTGTATGAACAGTTTTGAAAAATGTTAAAAGTTGATAGGGTCCACATGATTCTTGTCGGTAAAATATCTGCTTTTTGTGACTATTTTTCAAGAAAGATTCAAAAGTTTGGCTTTGTTGCCTATTCAGCCGAATATTGAAATAAATATAATGTAAATGTAGCTATAAAGGAATAAAAAGTATAGAGTGGTAAATGCTTCATTCTGTTTCTCTGATAACTGTATGATTTAATCTTTAGTAAACAAGGTGGTTTGAGTGGTAGCAACCAAAGTGTATCTTTCCGAAGTGGCACAAATGTAGAGTTTTCCCCAACCTTCATGAGAAATGGACCTCAGGATACTGCTAACGGGGTAAGTATAGATATTGAATAATAACATATGTTTAGTTGTTGTTGTTTTTTACTATTATTATAGCTATCCGTGTAATCTTTTAGGTGATCACACACAGATATTGTTGGTTTTCTATGGGGCTTCTTTTATCATAAAGTATAAAATGTATTATCATTGACATGATTAACACCCCAAACAAGTGTAATATTTTATTAACTAAGTATGTTATTGTGGAAAACCAATGAGTTGCGTTTAGCTGAATATAAAATTAGAGCAGAGCTATACTCCAATTCATTTAATATTACACATGTGAGAAATGTTATATTCTACTTAACAGTAATAAAAGATGCGTTAAATAAAACCAATAAAAACTGCTCGTAGTTTATATCAATATTAATATCTAAGGGAAAGAGAACATAAACAATATCTCTGTCTTGAGTAATACTTTAAACAACTTTTCATATGACAAGGCTATGAATAGAAAGTAATGCGTATAAAATACAGATGAATAGTTATTGAAATATATTTTAGTATGGAGGTAGTAGGAATTGACCATTTGTCAGATTTAACTTCTATTCACAAGCTTTGTGGGCCTCAAGTCTACAATATTCTATATACCATCTGTGAACAAACAACAACAAAAAATACAGGGTACTACAATTGGACATGGTATAAAAACTTATCTTTTGCCTTCTAGCTCTCATAATGGCTCGCTGCTATGAGAATGGTATAGTAAAACTTAAGATGTCTAGATCAAAAATTACTCATTTTATACTCTTGAAATATTGGCTTTTCCCTCCAAATCTGTAAAAGGCAATCTAATCGAATAGATTGTTGTGGGTAACTTTTTTCTTCTCTATATCACAGTTTGTTACCTTTTTTTTTTTTTTTCCCCTCCATATGAGTATTTTGAACTTGTGAATGTTTGTTTAAATTAGTGATAGTGAACAAATTGAGTTTTAGGGCTTTATTATGAAACAAAATATGCAACCTTCTGTGTAAAACAAATATCCTTATATAGCATTTTAACTCTTTTTAAACACACAATTTTTTTGCCTGGAATTATTTTAAAGATGTCCCAATAATTATCAACATACCTTATAAAATTTCTGGTATATTTATAAAAGGTGGATAATAACATGGTTTGGATTAGTTTCCAGCCAAAGAGACATAAATGTTATCAGACACTGTCACCATCCAGTGAGTAAATTGACATTTTTGGCTTGACACTGAAAGTGTCTGCACGGGTTTAAGGAGTTAAACTTGATATTTCCTTAAACAGTGGAATATAACTTTCCTATTAACCAGATTGTAAACTATGATGTGCACACTGCATTATACATCATCCCTGCATGTAGTTTTATGGATAAGTAGCAGTCATGCATTAAACTTACATTACATTTTGCAAACAGTTTTATTTAAAATATAATTAAGTTTATATTTTTATATTCTGTTCTTATTACAACTTGTTATTATGTTAATTTATTTTGTTCTAGGAACCACTGGATGCTGAGTTTAACCTTGGTGATGTTAATAAGCCTACAGATTTTAGTAATCCTATGTACGATGCTGTGAATCTGGAGGCTGGTAAAGGAGGCGGACTTTACGAGGTACCAGCTGAGGTGGTTAACAAGAAATTACCTTTAAAATCCAACAATAAACCGAGCACAGAGTCTGCTGTTTTGTCACCATCTAGTATCATTCAGCATTCTTCGCCACAGGTCCAGGTTCGACAGACGGCACTGGACCCTACGTCTGTGGACACTGGCAAAGACACTCAAAAGTTGGTAGAAGAAGATAAGTCTGAATGTTAAAAACATTTTTAAACTTCCATCACACCATAAAAACCATCCCTTCCTTTAAACTCACTGTATGTTCAGCACTGTGAGTGATAGCCAGAAACAGACTATAAACTGGCACAACTTCCATACAAACACTAGAAGTTTTTGGGAGGTTATCATCAACCTGTAGAAGTGGTTATGGTCAATGAATCTTTTCTACTAAACACAGGTCAAAAAACATTCCATTAATAGATGTAAATAATGAGAGATTGCTCAGGCACTTGGAGAGAGAGAGATATATATATATGAATATTGGAACAGTGTAAATTGCATGTTCTTTTTAACAGATTAGGTTAAGGTTACTTTATTATACAAAATGTCTTACAATGATTTTCTGGTTTTTAGCTGCAGGGTTCTAATGTCACATAGACACTATGCAAATAAGGGTTTTATTTTTCATTTAAAGTAGTTTACAGTTAGTTTTAAAAACTGTTGTATACAGGTTATTAGTTTTTGTACCTGATGTTTATTGCATAAAATCTTCACATGGCAACTATGTTACAATCAAATTTTAAGCAAAAAGAGGTTGGAATATCCATTCCATGGTGTGCCAAGGAACAGGTTAAAGGAATTTTTGTCTTAATGGTTCTGTGGGTATTCCATTCAAAATCTTTAACTACATTGTTTTAAAAGTCAAAGTTAACCCACACTTTCTTGTATAGCTTTTTTCTTTAATTGTTGTACACACATTTACACCATTATTGTGGTTAAAGTGAGCCGTCCATTTCAGTGTGTTTGTATTTAAGTTGGGATAGGAGGGATGAGGGTAATCCTGTGATTTTTCATATAATTTAAATCAGAATCTACTTTAGCTATTCTCTCCACCAGCACCTGCCTGATAACACCATCTTCATGCTAAATCGTACATATTTCACCCTTGTGTTCACTATATAGAAGCTCTGGCTTTCAAAAAAAAACGTATCACTTCTGTATAATGTTTTGAAAAGGTTACAAAGCGGTAGTATTTTTATTTTTAAGTAGAAACAAAAAAAACTGTGCTAGGCATGAGAAGCTTGTTAACGAAAGTCTTTGTTTCTTACCCATGTACAATGTGAAGAAAATATTTGGAAGAAAAATAAAGTTTTATAGCATTTTATTGAGAAGTTTTGTGGCAAAACTTAGTTATGAGAAACAAAAAAACATTTTAAAATTTGATAACCAATATCATCACTATGATAAATTTTTAAAGGATTTAGGAACAGATAAAGCTTTTGGATATCTTCTTAATCTGTTTGCATGCTCAAATAAAATTAATATACTTTTGAAAAATAAAATACTTGATTTTACTATAATTAGTAGCAAGTGTAGTGACATATAGTGCTGCCATGTTGAAAGTTAACATTAATGCTACAAAGGCTTTTCATACTCTGCATAAGATTGATGTACTTTTTTTTAACTATGGTCACTTGCAGGGGATAAAACATGTACACAATATAACCATCTATGATTGTGAGCATGAACCAAAGACAACTAACAATAAGTAAATTTCATGTCTGTTTTGTGGATCCTACATTCACATGTTTGTGACTATGGCTTAATGTAGTACAGGGAAAAGTAGATTTATGAAAACATTGTTCAACTTTATACGATTTACAGTCATATTTCCTTCCTAGGCTGCATTCAACAGAAGTATGAACAAGATAATTTATTAGGCAATTGTGAATTGTTTATGTGGCAACTAAAATCTTTTTCCATTTGAAAATAATTATCCAATATCGATTTGGTGACAAAACACAGCGAGTTTTAATGATTTTGTTTGTTTGTTAAATATACAATTACATAAAACAATTTTTTTATTCAACAAATACACACGCTAAGATCCACTATGCTTTATAATACTTGGAAAATGAACCAATGAATAGGAAGACAAATGAAGTATAATATACCACAGTAAATATCTCATTTTCTCAAACATTGTACTAAAAATTATTGAAATACATAACTTTGTTTGGCACAAACTACTGTGATGTAAGTACTGATTTAGTCTACTGGTAATACTTTTGACTCAGTTTTTATTACATGTTGCTACTTTCTAACATTATACGAACCTAATTAATTAAACATCCATATGTAGGTTATTCATTTTACCAAACTGTGGAACCAGTTTGAAGGTTACTCGTAAGAAGTGTATCAGGAAACATCATTTTGTTCTTAAAATTGCTGAAGAGAAAAGAAGTAATTGTAGTAACTAACCATTTTGGTTAAACAACAATCATCTGGACCTGAAGGTCATTGAACCAAAAAACTTAGCACACTATTTTTTGTTCCTTGCAACATTTTTTTACTAGTTATTTGTGTTATGAACATTACTTTGCATGTAACTATAGATTAAGACTAGCCTTTTTTCCAGTGACCTGAATCATTAAAATGAATTAATTTGTGCTTTAAACAAGTAATAAACAAAAAGAAATATCTGCACTCAATGAACAGTTTGTTCCCTCAGGATTTTTTTACGTTACTGTTCGGTAAAGAAATACAAAAAAAAAAAAGTTCGAAACTTCAGGCCAACATGTTAATATATATATATAAAGCACAATGTTTTCTTGAGTTTTAAATTCTTGTACTCTAACTTCAACAGTCATTCCACATGATAACAAATACATGTACAAAACTTTTAATGGATATATTGTAAAATGAAGGACAGGTACATTATATTTGGAAATGTTTATAAAACAGACCCCAAACTGTGAGAACAAGATATATTTTATGTAAAGCAGTATCAAGCTGGAAGCTTCTAGTGGTCTAATAACAAACAGTTCTTTCTATAAGATTATTAAAGAAAAATTCACCCTAGATTCATTGCAATTTATCTAATTTAACACTAATAATGTGTACATTTTCTTTTCCTAATACCTCTAAGTACCACCATGTTGAGAAAGTTAGTGTTTGTAATATGTTTAGAATTTGTATCTTTATCTAAAAAAAAAAAGCTTTTACAATAAACAAAACTGGCTCTAACTACATACACACACATATAATACTTGGTACCTTTTAAACTTCTGAATAGGTAAAAGTAAAACTGAAAAATGCTGTTCTAATTTCACACGTTTATATGGTACTTTTTATGAATGTGGGAGCAATCACTTAGTTCAGGAAAGGTTTAACGATGAAGAAGCATAAAGAGCACAACATGCTAGATCTGAAACGTGAAACTATCTCAAATTGCACGAATATTTAGACCTACAACACTGAATTAAGAGTATGCAAGTGTGAAAGATAATGAAACATAAAACAGTTTGATCCATTACTTAAAAAAACATTTTTCTCACAACATCAGCATAATTAAAAAAAACATAACGTAATACTTAAAATTTTCACTTTAAATGTAACATGCAAGCTGTTTTGGAATTTTTTAGATCTTGAACAACTTCGATCTGTTACTATTTATATTGTGGGATTAGGTATTTAAAAAAATTTAATATGATAATACAGGCAGTTAGCTTGAAGATGGTACATCTTCAGTGGGTTCTATTATATGTAGCAACTTTCAAGCTCTTTGGTTCCTGACTAACTGAACAGTTGGCCATTGTAAGTGTGGATTTGCTCTAACTTAAAATCTATTTTCTTCAACTATACCAAACCTCTGGAGGCTATCATTGTGCCCAGTCCTTTTCATCAACAAAACGTGTGAATTAGCTATAGTATCATTAGTTTTTTTAATTAGAAAATTGAACTTGTTTCCATCAGCTGTCAATATTTTCTAACAGTTGCTGGTATTCCTCAAGTGTTAATTCTTTGTCAGCTACAGTATTAAGGTCAGCATTTCTTCTTGACCTCTGCAGATTGTCTTTGCTACTGATGGTTTCCACACACAGAACAATGAAAGAGTTATTACAGGAATATTTTTCTTGTTCCAGTAGATGGTTCTGCAAGAGTGAACTAGCCAAACCTTCTTCCATTAAGCTGCTACTGTGCCATGCATTACAGTAGCTCTCCGTGTCTCGAATTCCAAACTGATCTGATCCATGCCACACAATCTTCTGTGGCCTAAGATGATAAAGTTATAAAAATGATCCTTAACAGTTTTAAAGAAATATTCGGATTCACTTAAGCAAGTTATGATGGAAAGATATATTTTTTAATCCTCCAAGATATTTCTACTTTTGATGTAGAAATTCAAGTAATATAACTATATCATGATATTGATTGAAGATTGGAAAATAATATTTAATAGTCTTAAAGAAATTTATTATTTTTACTGGAATTGATTTATTTTGTAAGAGATATTCGGATTCACTTAAGCAAGTTATGATAGGATGAAGTGCTGTTCAACTCTTGGAAAGACTTATTTACTGGAAATGGAGCTTCTTTTGCATCCTTTCCTCGTATTTATTCCTTTGATGGAAGGAATGTTTTACTTGACAACTCATGGTATGTACAAGTGTATTGTAAACTTGAGTCTTTTGTCTTAAACATGTATGAGAGAGAGAGAGAATTAATGGCTTTTATGAAAAACCTTATTGCAAAAAACAAGTTATTAAGGAGAGATCCTTGCATTTTGTTATTATTGGCTTCCCCTTTATTCAATTGGATAAGGAAAGAAGCAAAATCATCTTTGTGTGCGTACATAAGTTAACCACAAACTAGAACCAGCAACACCATAAATTAAAATGTGTTCACAGATTGTTTCAATGTGCAATTTATCACCTACTTCCATCACTGAAAAGGTCGAGTACATTGGAATGGTCAGCAACTGCATGTAGAAAAACGATAAGCTTAAAGGACGACATTTCAAAACATCGCCTTCTACAAGAGGCACTTGGTGCCCATTCCACTGTACTCTTCCTAAACAATCCATCAAAGAACCAAAAATGTATTTACTTAAGATTACTAAAAAAATTCTATCTTTATCTATTTGAAATGCAGATTATATCTGACATATACATACAATTAATTTTGTTTGTGATCATTAATAATTTTCATAAAGCAAACAGTTATTTTTTCTTCTTTTTTTGTGTGTGACAATTTTTATCAGTTTCATATAAGCATATTATCATGTTAAATGTAAAGTATGTTCATGCACAATATCTATGTCTACAGTGTACGATTTTAAACATGTTTAAATATCTTCCAAAGGAAATATTTAGGATATTAATACTTTTCATTCTGAAAGATTACTAGCACACTTAGGTAAACTTTCAACATATCAAGTTCTGTTCAAATGTTTACACATTACT